TCTTTGACAAGGAAGCCTGCTTCTTTGTAATCCACGATATTAACGCGACAGCGTTAGAGAGCTCGTTTCGCAGAAATTTCAGAGTTGGTGTAGTTGGTTGTGAGCGAAAAATCATCATCTTATACGCGACCGAAAAATTGAGAACGATGCGAATGAAAGAAAAGTGGATAAAAAAATGGCCCCGTATTTGCATGTTAATCTGCAGATTTCGTCGAAAAACAGCAGTCTTGCGTGCGGAGAAAGTGAACAGAACATTTATTTTGATGTTCTGCGCAAGAAAATCGGTGAATGGTATTCCGGAGGCGCTGCGTTAGTGCCTCGAGCGTGCAGCGGAGGCGAACGAGCGCACCAAGTCACGTCACACGTGAGACATAAGCGCCATCTAACAGTTGTTTTTGTTTTTGTAAAACAAAGCACGTGGCCCTGAGATGGGCGTGCGCACCCGTCTCAGAGGTGATAAAGCGTAGAACGCAAGGCGACGGGTAGGTGCCACGACCGCGTCGTCTTAGCAAAGCGTTGGAAACACTTGCCTTTTCGTGGTAGCGTTGCATGGCCGTCGCAGCATGATAAACGCTACGGTCCTTAGAATTACTTATGTATGCCTTTTCTAGTAATAGACGCACATGCAGAATATATACATGTTATGGTGGCTCAGATATGCGCAATAATTGCTTTTTTAATTGACAATCGCACAAGTATGAATGCTGAATCTTGAGCAACATTGCTTGGTGCTGCGGATGGGGTCGGCCGTTTGAAATATCCATTGGTGCTGTTTAGAGTACCCGGGTCGCGTTAAGGGTGGACAAACAGACAACTGTACAGACAGGCAGACAGACAGACCAAAATTTTTGCGTCGAAGGTCCCCAAGAAAGGCTGTCGTCTTTAAAATCCTGGAACAGAGTGGGGACCAAACTAAGGTTGTTTGGGTTCAAGTGGCACCCGGCTCATTTGCGTGGCAAGTGGATGTTCTACTACATAGCCACGCCTCTGCTTGTGAAAAGAATGAAAATAACTTCCTCTGCTTGGAAAATAAGTGAAAGTAGCTTTCGTGCTTTACAAACACGTGCGTTCCGTATTCATGCTTCACAATGCAACATGAAATATTGGAGTAATGATGCGTGATACAAGCGTCCATTGCCAGTGGGCGTCAAAATATCTGATTATCATAGCGGCTCTGTGGTTGAAAGCCGGTACCCCACTACAAAAGGCACACACGCTACTGCGACAATATATTCCCTTATAAGGCCAAGTAGTGGGTGCATAATAAATTCGAAAGGGTTTCGTGCACTAAGTGTTTGAAGAACGCACTAGGATGAAGATATCACGTTCAACTCCTAAAGGTGAAGCTTTAGAGCCCCCCTAAATTTTGGAGATTGCTATTGTTCTAAAATTGTTAGCGTTACCATTCATTCGGAATTAAGTCGTTCGTTGGAATCACCCCCCCCCTCTCCTTTTGTTTGTCTTTATAACAGCCGCCCACGTGAGATATATTTTGAATGCGTTCGTTGCGTGGTGGCGAGGATTCTCCCAAGAAGCGTTATGAATACCATTTTTTTTTGCTGCGGAAGTTTAATGAAATTATAGTTCCAATTTATGTTGCGAACAGATCGATGAATTTCGTCGCTATCATTCGTGTTTCTTCTATTTTTTTACGCGTTATAGTAGAGTGTCTCGCACTTTTGAGGGGACTGTAGGTACAACATGATTATAACTGCAAACCATGTTTACGCTTATGAGTGTATAACACGATTATGATTGCGACCTGATTATGAATACAAATCAACGCAACCGAGAGGAGGGGATGGAAGAGAGCACACAGCATAGAGTTTCCTAAAGTACACTAGAGGGAACTCTGGCGCTAGTGTCTGTGGGAGCTGCATGGCATGTCGTTTCAGCGAGCGTGTGAATGTCTAATCTTCGTACTTCTGGCCTGCTTCTGGCTCCGTGTGTGTTCGTGTGGCTTGGAGCTGTTTTCTTACTAAACCAAAAATCAGCAAACGTTCAGCGGTTGTGTTTCACCACCTTATTTTTTAGGCTCACCTTTTCAATTCGGGTCACGAAGTTCGAAAGAGTTCGTTCTTTCCTTCAAAACGAAACCGAAACACAGCAATAAACAAAGCCGCAAGTACGATTTGTCATCCGCAAGTACGAAGACTACAGGCAAATCCGTGTACTAGCCATTATTCCCATGATCGCTGAACGATCGCAGCGCCAGAGTCCCCTCTATAGGTAAATGTTCTATGGCACACGGAGCGTTGAACTTCCAACAATTTATTTCTCTGGAAAGTCCTCGTTTTTATTCACCTACACACTGTTACAACTGCCATGCGTGGCACAGAATGATGTGTTTTTGTCGTCACAAGAATTCATATCGTGGACAAAGCTATATGCATCTTTGCTTTATCAGTGAAAGCGAGGGATGGTATTTACAGAACCACCTTTTAAATAAAAAAGAATATTGCCTGCCTCGATGTTTTTTCTGTGTGGTATGATCTCTGCACTTGGCGACAATGTGCATGGCTCCTGTGACAGTGCGTAATTGTACGAAAGCGAAGGCTTTCCAAAAGAAATAAATGATTGGAAGTTCAACGTCCTGTGTCCTCTATTCGGTCTTTTCCCGTCAGTTGCGCTGATTTGCAGTCACCATCTTTTCAGGAAACTGAATTCACTGTCAAGCGATGATAAATAAAACGCGTATAGAAATCTAAAACGAAGGGCGTGTAATTTTTTGCGGGGGGCGTTTGTGTACCACGTCATGCGTGCCGGAAGTTCATCTATGCGGCGCAAATATTTACGAAGTTTTAAACGAACAGGGTTGATGCGTTGATGCATTATGCCACAATGTAAGAATGTATATATCATCTGGAGGATATTTTTATGAAATCGACCATCTACGAAGAAAACCAATAGTCACTTTATTTTTGGCCCGCTGGACTGCCTGTTTCGGATCGAAAATGTCCATAAGTTACACACGTGTACACGGAGAAGGAAAACGAGTCATTCACTTCTCCGCGGCCTCGTCTTGCGGACAGTTTTCCGTATTCACCATTACAAAAGTATCTTAGCATCTAAACGATTGTACATTCGGCATGTGGGCGTCGCCACGTAGGACTGCCTAGTGAATGCTTTATTTTTAGGGTGAAAGCCCTATAGGCACATCATTGAACACAAAAATTGATCGTCCGCATCGATGGCGTCCACACGAGTGATGCGAAAAACGTCATCATAATTCAATGACGTCACTATATGTCCACGCGCGTTTCTTGTTTCAATTTTCTTGTTTCGACATTGGATGAAAAAAAAATTGGCTGCGTATCTGCGTTCATCGCTGGCAAAGGTCGTCGAAAGACGACCGTCTTCTGTCTTGAGAAAGAGAATAAAACGTTTATTTGACGTTCTGAGCGAGAAAATCGGCGAGAAAGCGCCGCGTAAGATATGGACGCCATCTAGCAGTCAGCCATTAATAAAAAGAAGTCACAGTACACTATTCTGAGGGGCGATTTTAATGTCGAAGTCAGTAAGAAACAGGCCGCGGAGCCCGTTCTGTGGGGGAATATGACATCGGCTCTAGAAATGCCAGAGGGGAGTTATTAGTAGAGTTCGCAGAACATAACAATTTACAGATCTTGAATACCTTTTTCAGAAAACGGGCTAACCGTAAGTGCACGCGACGAAGTACTAATGTCGAAACTAAGAATGAAATAGACTTCATTCTGAGTGCACTCACATGCATTGTACATGATGTAGACGTAGTTGGACAAAATCCGATGCCGAAAACACGTATTTACCTCGATTAAAAAAAAGCAAGGACAAAAATTCATACGCAAGAAGCTAATTATTCAACTAGCGGTGACAGCGAAAGTACAGAAATTCAGAATTTTGCTTCAGGATGGATTTGAGGCACTAAACGAGGTAACCGACGTTAGCGTTAACCGACGTTAGCGATTTTCAGCGCAGCCTAAGAAACACTGAGGTCCTTAGAGTTGCGTATTTAAGCATTATCCAGTTAAGGAACACACCACCTAATACTTGCATATTGACGTTGGGCTTCAGATATGTGCCATATTTGCTTTTTGATTGGATATGTTCCAAATATGAAAGGAGCCACCACTTCAAGGCTGGGCGTTCAGCAAGTACTTAAACTTGGGCGAGTTGGCTGAATCGTGTGACAGGCAGGTAGATAGACAGACAAACCTAAATTGCTGTGGTTAGGTGTCTCAAGAAATACTATCATCCGCGTAGCTTTCGCAAGGCTGGGCAAGTCCCGGCTTCGATTGCTAACCATCTGCGCATAATGCTCGAGCATTCATTGGCCGCCAGCTGGTCCACGGTGCGGGTAATTTTCTATATATAATACATGACTAACTTAGACAGTGACCCCCGTATTTACAAACGCTCCTCGACTCGACTTTCACCCTTCACTTGACAGAGTTGAATACTGCGCCACAGCTCGCCTCAAAAATGTCGCTGCGCTATATACTCAAAAATAGCAGCCAATTATCGCTGATATGCAGTGACTTGACCTGCCTAAAGATGACGCTCCCATCGGCTTTCTCGAGTGAAGGTGGAGCGTTGAGTGAAGGGGCGTTCTAGAAAACGGGGGTAAGAGTCTTACTGTACAAACTGATGATCGGAGACAAGTTACTGATCGAGAGCGCATCAGTTATCGCAAAACGACTCAGAGGGATACGCACGTCACCAGCCTGCCAAACCTCGGGTTCTTCGCGCACGACGTGACCACTGATATCTAAGTTAAAAAAAAAAAAAAACTTTAGCTTAAAAATAACAGAAAGGAAACAAGAGCGAACGACAACGAAAGACGCTTAATAGAATAAAACACAAAGAAGGCGGGCGGCGTTCTTCGCACCACGACCTCCCGCGCGGCGTCGACCAATCGTTGATCTCGCGGCTTCGTGACGTCACGACGTGATCGATGCGCAACATCGGGGCCTATATAACGGCGCTACCGATTCCGGTGCCGGGACGGTCGGACTTTCTCTGCCGCCTCAGAAACTTCGAAACCGACGCGGACTCAGAGCCGGGCTTCGCTCATTCCCAAACGACTCGCCGTACACACAAGAGAGAAAGTGCGCTCGCTTGTCGTGTTCGTGTAGTATCGGTACACTTTTCATTTTTCTTTCGTTTTCGGTGCGCTTTCGATGCTGCTCAGTTTGAACCGATAGCAGGTGACGTACGATCTTTGAAAACTATTCTTTCTTTTTCGTTTTTTTCGTCCTTAAAACGAAAGCGAAGCGCGGACCAGCGCTCTTCCGGCTGGTCATTCGCTTAAGTTATACGGAGCTTGTCCTTGCTGTGAAAGGAGAGTAGTACTGCTTTCTTCGCGAGGAAACTGTTCGCGGTCATCGCGGGCGTCCTTATTTGCGGTTCGTATTCCGTGCAAGACTTTTCTCACGAGCAAGTGGTTGACGTGAGAGTGACAACATGCGCCACCCCTGCGCATTCGTCGTTGCCTTCGGCGTGGCACTGACGCTTTTGGTGAGTGAAGCAGACGTCACTTTTGTTTGTTCTTACCAATTTGGCACTTCTGCAAGGAAAAAAAAAGAGCAGACAATATACTATACAGACTTGTGAGTGAAGCAGATGTCACTTTTGTTTGTTCTTACCAATTTGGCACTTCTCGAAGGAAAAAAAAAAGGAGCAGACAATATACCATACAGACTTGTGAGTGAAGCAGACGTCACTTTTGTTTGTTCTTACCAATTTGGCACTTCTGTAAGGAAAAAAAAAGCAGACAATATACTATACAGACTTGTGAGTGAGGCAGACGTTACTTTTGTTTGTTCTTACCAATTCGGCACTTCTGCAAGGAAAAAAAAAGAGCAGACAATATACTATACAGACTTGTGAGTGAAGCAGACGTCACTATTGTTTGTTCTTACCAATTTGGCACTTCTGCAAGAAAAAAAAGCAGACAATATACTATACAGACTTGTGAGTGAAGCAGACGTCATTATTGTTTGTTCTTACCAATTTGGCACTTCTGCAAGGAAAAAAAAAGAGCAGACAATATACTATACAGACTTGTGAGTGAAGCAGACGTCACTATTGTTTGTTCTTACCAATTTGGCACTTCTGCAAGGAAAAAAAAAGAGCAGACAATATACTATACGGACTTGTGAGTGAAGCAGACGTCACTTTTGTTTGTTCTTACCGATTTGGCACTTCTGCAAGAAAAAAAAAAGCAGACAATATACTATACAGACTTGTGAGTGAAGCAGACGTCACTTTTGTTTGTTCTTACCAATTTGGCACTTCTGCAAGGAAAAAAAAAGAGCAGACAATATACTATACAGACTTGTGAGTGAAGCAGACGTCACTTTGTTTGTTCTTACCAATTTGGCACTTCTGCAAGAAAAAAAAAGAGCAGACAATATACTATACAGACTTGTGAGTGAAGCAGACGTCACTTTTGTTTGTTCTTACCAATTTGGCACTTCTGCAAGAAAAAAAAAGCAGACAATATACTATACAGACTTGTGAGTGAAGCAGACGTCATTTTTGTTTGTTCTTACCAATTTGGCACTTCTGTAAGAAAAAAAAAGCGGACAATATACCATACAGACTTGTGAGTGAAGCAGACGTCACTTTTGTTCTTACCAATTTGACACTTCTGTAAGAAAAAAAAAGAGCAGACAATATGCTATACAGCCTTGGAATGTTGAGTGGATTCTAGGTAGATAATTCGTCTGTGATTGAAGCTGTACTCGCGCTTGAGGGATATGAAATACGTAGTGTCGGTTTAACGAGGAAACTACCTAACGTAGCAGCGGACTTCTAAACCTGACGTCTGTTGCGCAAACGCAAAATGTTTATCTCATAGACGTGCATGCATATTACACGCTTGCTTTTTTTTTTACTAATATCGTGTGAGCGTTGACCGCTGGACGTGATAGCGCCTAATGTACACGATAAATAACGGTATTTCCGTTATTTCGAGCAGGCGCAATAGCATACTCGGCTGCGAGCGCTGTCTGCACCGCTGATCGCTTAGCGATGCAACACAAGCAAGCTTTATCTGTGCAATCATGTGTGCCGAAATCCGGCGCAACGCTGATCACAGTATCGCTGATGCCGTTGCTTCTCGTCGATATTAGAATACGGTACCTGATCCCGGGGTCGACTCCCGAACGATGTTATTAAAAAAAGTTCTAAAGGTTTACAGGCGTTAGACGTAAACTACGTTACGCGGAACCAAGCAATCATTTTCTGCTTCTTTTAAGGAAAATACAACAGAAAAAGCTAAACCATAATCTGTTTGTTCGTAGAACGAAGGCACGGGGGAAACTGACATGCGGGGTGACTTGTAAAGGAAAAAAAACTTGATTGTTAAAGGTACTTTCTGGTCACAGATTCGAACCGGAGACCAAAAGCGTTCACAAAGAGATTGCTCTACTATATAGAGGTTTACTCTAACGACAAAGCTCGCAGATTTCAGAATTCGTTTCGCAGATTTCGTTTATAATTTTTTTCTGAAGTGTGTTGTCTTGATGGAGAGTGGGTTTAACAGAAAAATTAACCTTTACTAGATACCTTCACGCTTCGAACGGACCTTGGTGTATATGAACTTTTCACGAGCATGGGTCCAAAAAGGCGTGAGTGATGAAAAATAAAATAAATCTGCTTTGCGGCTTGCCAGCCATACCACGACCTTGCTGTGAGTGTCCTTTAAACATTAACTTGCACATATTCAGCGAATACAACGCCAAGTGTTAGCTGACGGCATTAGCTCGTGGCTGAGACGTGTTTTTATTTTCGAAAATGGGATTTTTTATTTAATGCGTAATGGGCTGAGCTATAGGGAACTACTTAGCAAACGAGTAGGCGGTGCGTAGTCGGTGTAATACATTTGCGAAAGAAAAAAAAAATGGTCTTACTAAAAGTTCGACGTGATTGGTTGTGATTCAATAATTCAGCCAGCGCTCATTGCCATGCATCCTGAATTTTCTGAATTGTGCTCGCACTTCGGCGTTACTTTCCACCTTTCGTGAAAACGAACTGTTCGAGGAAAAAATTCAGCTTTTCACGAAGAATCAGTATACGACACGCACTGTGTAGAAGCGTGTCACGACCTAATATCTTAAAAGCCACCGTGCTATCATTTTTTAATGTACGGCGGTATTTAGATTGAGAATACGCGAAGAAAGGAGCGACGAATAAAGGCTACACGTACTTCTCGCATATTTTTGCATAGTTATATGTAGGTGATCGTTTCATATCATTTTCAATGAATATGCGGAGATGCTTGTTGTTTCATTTGTCGTTCGATATGATGTTGCGTTTAAGAAAAGAAAAAAATATGCTGCAAGCCATTATTCTGTATGCGCAGCGCCTTGAAATTGCACGATACCGTCATGTTCGCACCTGGTGTTTGGGGCTTAACTACTGGAGACGACGTGTGAGCCCGCCCAGTACAAAGTGGTCGCCCTAAGGGCAGCCACGAGCACTTACCCTTGCCTGAGGTACATCATTGCTCTTCTCCTCCCCCAGCCGCAATGCAATATAGGTTTGTACCCCCAGAGACAAAATTCTGCCGACACTCATATTCAGTCCTGAGTATTCGGTTATGACGAAAAAAAAAACTATCTAAACTTATATTTTTGTGATGGGCTTTACCTGCAGTACATTTTTAATAATCATAACTTTCTGGTTGCGCACGTAATCAGACAAATGCGGCTTATTACAATGTTCAGGGATAGATAGATTTGTGGGGTTTAACGTCCCAAAACCACCATATGATTATGAGAGACGCCGTAGGGGAGGGCTCCGGAAATTTTGACCACCTGGGGTTCTTTAACGTGCACCCAAATCTGAGTACATGGGCCTACAACATTTCCGCCTCCATCAGAAATGCAGCCGCCGCAGCCGGGATTTGAACCCGCGACCTGCGGGTCAGCAGCCGAGTGCCTTAGCCACTAGACCACCGCGGCGGGGCAATGTTCAGGGAATCTCGTATCCATGGATTGTAGCTTACCGGGCTGGAATAGCCAGTGAACGTTAGCGTTGATGCGTTAGCGTTGAAGAACTCGTGTCACCGAAGTTTCTAGGGTCGTGGTCTGTGGCATTGTCTGTAAGCCGAAAAATCTTGATAGATGGAAGGAATTAATACCAGAAAATCGGGATGGGATCAAACCCGGGCAATGTATTCTGCGTGGTAACTATAGGTGTTCTACTGCTGAGTCACGCCAGGGACTGAAGCTGCTTAGGCACAAAACCCACGAGGCGTCACGCAGGGCAAGGAGTCTCGTTAACCCATGTCACATGGCGTTGCAGAAACGTAGAATCGCACCAGGCGTCGTGCCGTGCAAAACTGAGCAATATGCAGTCCGAAGGCTGACCTATTTAAAGGGGCTCAGTCACAATTATTCATCACCGGCCACAGTATATAGACACTGTGCAGCTGTGTAAGCGCACGTATTGCCTTACAGAGTCGTAGTAGGTACTGCGCTACTTCGCTTGAATGAAAAATTATGTGGGCACTTGGCAAATGCGCACTCTCTACGGAAAAATGATTAGCACGAGTGAACGGCGACCGGAACCGGAAAAATGCGGTTTTACCCGAGCGCGCCGATGACTAGATTGCCCAACGCATTCCATTTTAAAGAAACGCCCCTCCCCCCTCCCCCCCCCTTTTTTTACAGCGAAAGCTGTTATGAGATCACAACTCGGATCACGCGCAGTTGTCCGCTGTCACCGCCGCCGGTGTCCGTAACCACATCGCGCGAAATATCCACGGAGTGGGTGAGGCGAAGCGTCCGTCAGCCCGTCCGTGCTATCGTCCGTCCATTCTTGCTTCCGTCCGTCCGCGTGACCGTCCGTGCCTCCGTCCGTGAGTCCGTCGTCTGTCCGTCCGCCTTCCAGTTTGTCCGTCCGTCCGTCCGTGCGTCCACCTACTGAACACTTTAAGTACCGCCATCTCCCGTCTCGCATCCCCTGTGGCACATACCGGTCCTTGCGTCTGTACTTGCGTCCGTCCGTGCGTCCATCCAGTGAACACTCCAAGTACCGCCATCTCCCATCTCTTATCCCCTGTGGCTACATACACCAACGGAGGATGGACAAACCCACACCCTAAAGGAACTTCGTCCCTAAATAACCTAGCACCAAAGACACAGTGGGCTAGAAGCTCGGGTCTGCTGTGTTCCAGCCCAGTATTCTACCACTGAGCTACGCTGCATGGTACTTGTGATTTGGCAAGCTTGCCTTAGGCAGGCTTGATGTTGGCAAAGCAATCGCGTTAATACGACTTATAAATCGTTTTAAAACAGCGAAAGACCAACCAGTCGTCGCACAATGCGAATAGCGTAACGAGTGGGCCGTCCAATGCTCCAACCCATATACAAAAGCTTGTTCTGGTTCCCCTTCTAACTTTGGCACATACCCGCTTCAGCCATAATTCCTCATCGTCGTCAGCCACTGCATGAACGAAATTCCTTGCAAGTGTTTAGCGGATACCACGCTTCTCAGAAGAATGACAA